TTCTGTGTTCCATTTTTGATACCCCAAACTGTTCATATTTCCCAGGAAAACTCTTCTGTGATACAACTGGTCCTTTGAAAGGTGTACTGTACTAGCCTTCCAGTGACCACTAGCTAATGTCTTAAACTAATCCAGAGGATAAAGAACAATTTAAGAAACTATTCTAGGGGTGGAACTGTTCTCCTCCTCCTCCTAGATCATTAACATTTTACCACAGTAAAAATTTGTTAAGAATGCTCTTGGGGCGCCTGGGTGGCGCAGTCAGTTAAGCGTCCGACTTCAGCCAGGTCACGATCTCGCGGTCCGTGAGTTCGAGCCCCGCGTCGGGCTCTGGGCTGATGGCTCAGAGCCTGGAGCCTGTTTCCGATTCTGTGTCTCCCTCTCTCTCTGCCCCTCCCCCGTTCATGCTCTGTCTCTCTCTGTCTCAAAAATAAATAAAAAACATTAAAAAAAAATTAAAAAAAAAAAAGAATGCTCTTGACCTTGGACAGAGGGCATTTTAAAGAAAGTATTTAAGATCTAATAGAGTAAGACGATGACTAGGGTTGGAAATATTTTTGTCATAGAATTATATCATGCCTGGTCTCATAAAAAAAAATTCTCCTAAGTATTTGTGAAATTCTTGATTATTCACACCTTACTGACAAACCTAGGTATACTTTTTTTCAGAACTACTGATAGAGATATTTCCTCTGCTCTAATCCTGTGCACCCTGTCTTACTGATATTTTATCCTGTACTATTAAAATCATATCATCAAGTTAATAGAATACTTAATGTTTGGGATATACACTTTTTTTTCTGCCAATGCATGATGTATTTTAGAGATGTAGAGTCAACAACAACCAAAAAAATAACAATTTCCCCTGTTCTAGAACCAGCAGGAATACAACTTTCTGCCCCATCTTCACCTTACATACAATTGCAACCACCTAAACCACACTAGATAAAAACACTTCTATGTAGAAGACACAATTGATCTCACGCTTTAATGCGGCTCTGTGTGTTTCATTTCTTTTGTTAACAAGGCCAAGTATTGAAACCATGGGTTAGAAAGATGGAAGGATATGGAATATTGTTGAAGATAATTCATATAAAGGGTATTTACATTTAAGAGTTGAAGCAATTTTATTCAGAAATACTGACTTGCTACCAGGGATCAGCACAAGCATTTTTTTTTTATTGCCTTAAACTCGAAAGTAAGCAGTTTGGAACGCAAATTATTCACCATTTGGGCTTTAAATCTTGGCCCAAGCGACACACATGTTTTTCTTTTTTTTTTAAATAAAATCTTGAACCAGATCATTTAAAAATACCATGAATTTTGGTTTCAGTTACATAATATCTTAAATATTTGAATATACATATAAAACAGAAATATTTGTACATTATTTTTAACAAAATATTTTGATAATGAATTGGAAATGGCAGATCACATTTGGAATTTATTGAAACAATCTTATGAATCAAACATCGCATCCACATATGATCGCCACAGTGCCCATAGTCACTATCAGGACAACTAATGAGGATACCGTGTGTAGATGGGATGGTGACAAACTCAATGCAAAGGAGTGAAAATCAGTGACAAGGGGTTTGTTGTTGGGAAAATTCTGATTTTTACCTTCCTAAGGCGGGTGGGGAACAGCAAGCATTAGATCATTAGTTCATAAATTAGACAACATTTGGTATAAAAGACTCTCTTGAGAATAGGCTTATATGATTGGTTGTGAATAAACCTAGAAATAAATCACAGTAAAGTCTGTATGCTTCTCCAATTCTTACCCAAACTTTGGTATATAAGTTAGACTAGAAACTCCCCAGGACATTGTTTCTTGGGATGTTTCCAATATGTCCCATTTTCAGCCAAGATACAAAAAAAAAAAAAAAAAAAAAAAAAAAAAATCACAATGAAGGTATTCATGGTATTTTATATAAAACCATGATGTAGTTTTGTTTGTTTTTCCGATGAAAATTTTGAACTCTGAAAATGCTAAAGTTTGGCTGATGTTCATCAAACAGATTTCAAATAGTCACAGATAAACTTTAACCTAATTTACTTAAATCCAACTAAAGAAAATTAAGATTAATTGCTCTCCTGTTCAGTATTTCTATAGGTACATCTGTATTCTTTCAGTAGCATATTTTCTGTAACTTGAATATCAATGTTTGCTTATAATGTCTTTAGGACATCCAAATCTTTGCACATAGAAACACACACTGTAAAATAACCAGACATTGTTTAAAAGGCCCTCTCCTTAATGGTGACTATGTACAAACAGTAGTTAACCATTTAGGTATCTTCAAGTTGCATTGGCCCCTTGGGTTACATTTAAGTCACAGTCTGCTTTGTCTCCAGTATTTTTATCTCTACTCCTTGTTTTTATCTCTGCTCCTTTTTCTTGGTACTCAATACCCACTTTTATGATACCTTATATTTCTCCTTCATCATCTTTTAATACTTTTTTTTTTGCATTTTAAAGCATATTTATTCTTATTCTCATATCTTGGGTAGAAATATAAGGAATACATTTTTGCTAATATTTAGCAGATTATTATAAACATCCAAAGTCAGAGGACTATAAATATGGATGTCAGTATAATGTGGCATATAGCATAAGACCATGCTGTTATTCATGACCAGATTTTTATTTTGTTTATCTTTGACAAAACTTTTAAATAAATCTAAGTTTCATTATTTAAAAATTTTTAAATATTTTTATTTATTTTTGAGACAGAGAGAGACAGAGCATGAGCAGGGGAGGGGCAGAGAGAGGGGGAGATACAGAATCTGAAACGGGCTCCAGGCTCTGAGCTGTCAGCACAGAGCCTGATGTAGGGCTTGAACTCACGGAGTGTGAGATCATGATCTGAGCTGAAGTCGGACGTTTAACGTATTGAGAGCCACCCAGGCGCCCCTAAGTTTCATTATTTAAATAAAATTTTCATGGAAGTATAAATTTATTTTTAGACCTATTTTCTGTCTTTTTGTCTCTAGAAATAAAGTGAGAGGGGTTTTTAACAAATTTTTTTCATATACTCCATAATATAATTTTACCACTGAGTAAAATAAGCTTCTATTAGAGCAAATATAGCATTAATTCACTGGAAAATGGTAAAACATTAGAGGGAGAATAAGAAATTATTACTCAAAAAATAGATTTGGATTGATTTAGGGAAATGTGTAAAATGAATATAAAATTAAGAATTTATTTATTTATTGACATTCTTAGTTCTTCCTTCTTCCACTAACTTGCAGTGTACCAGTTAGAAATATTAAGAAACATTTGCTGGGGCACCTGGGTGGCTCAGTTGGTTGAGCATCCAGCTTTGGCTTAGGTGATAATCTCGAGGTTTGTGAGTTCAAGCCCCACATCTGGCTAGCTGCTGTTAGCATAGAGCCCGCTACGGATCCTCTGTCCCCCCTCTCTGTCACCCTCCCCCACTTGCACTCTCTCAAAAATTAATAAAACATTTTAAAAAATTAAAGAAACATTGGCTCAAATGTTTTAACTATAAGAAACTGTGTCAATGAATTATTTTTAAATTACATGTTCTTTTTTTTTTTTTTTCAACGTTTATTTATTTTTGGGATAGAGAGAGACAGAGCATGAACGGGGGAGGGGCAGAGAGAGAGGGAGACACAGAATCGGAAACAGGCTCCAGGCTCTGAGCCATCCGCCCAGAGCCCGACGCGGGGCTCGAACTCACGGACCGCGAGATCGTGACCTGGCTGAAGTCGGACGCTTAACCGACTGCGCCACCCAGGCGCCCCTAAATTACATGTTCTTAAGCAATTCTTCCCCTCATTGATCCTTAGAACCATTAGTGCAACTTCTCTGTGGGCAGGACAATATTTCTATTTGGACACACAAAGCTTGAGTATTTAATTCTAAATTATAACTACCAAGAGCAATAAAAGAAAAAATCCGTTCCAAGTTTTCTATAAAAGAAAGCGATGAGAATCATTTATTTTGTGCAGGATAAAATTTATTTTGTACAGAGACTGTATGACATAGTGAAGAGTGAAGATTCTAGAGTCAGATCCAATGGTATTGTGCTTCCAAATCATACTATGTGACCAACTCCAACTCTTTCCCTCAGGTGAAAAAAAGAGAGATAATAATAGCAATATTGACCTTAAGGTGTCATTGTAGGACTCAAAAGAGATAATGCATGTAGCAACTGTTCAATTACCATCATCATTATTAATAATAGTAGTTGTGCGCTATTTAACAAAGGGAAGTAGCTCTCAACAACATAGGAAAATAGATCAAACAATTCTGATTTGGGAAAGTGAATTATATTCATTCTGATTATTATTATTATATACATTCTGATTAGTTTTGATTGTCAGAGAGATGACACAGAAAGCCCTAAAGTTTCCGTGGGTTAAGGTGCTTGAGATAATGTGTGGTATGCAGGCAGAAATACCTACAAGCGGATTTTTTTTTTTTAACCATTGGCCTCAACCACATTAAAAAAAAAAAAAAAAAAAAAAAGTCCTATTGCAGAATGTCAATCTGCCTGACAGTGTAAATCTCCTTAAAGCAATTTAATTCAGATTAAAAAGATAACCATGGCTTATGCGGCAGAATGAGGGATCTGTTTCAAATCCATCACATTAACACTATCAATAACCCATGATGACCCATGATTGAGTAGTTTTAATTAAGTTCAGTTGGAGTATTGGGGGAAAGGTGCTTCATTTAATCCTTCATTAATAGTTAAAGTGAATATTATAAATACCTCTATAACTTCTGTAGCTTGAACATCTTTCTTTTTTATTGAATTTATTGTTTTTCTTTCTATAGAGTAGTGCCATTTGGGGAACTCTGATTCCCAGGAGCTTTAATGCTACCCCACTTCCAGCACTATAAAACAGAGGCCTGCTGTTTTAATCACGCCTCTCTCTCTCTCAATGTTGTTTGCGCCCTGGTACAACCCATCTGCCTTGAATCTAGGGCTCCGCTGGGGCTGCACACATCTGCCAGCCAGACTACCTTCGTACACAATTACTCAATCCACCGTAAGGCCCTTTAATAGGAAACAAGTGTGACAACGGCAAGCCTCTTTTTTTTTTTTTTTCCTCCTCCCTCTTAAACCACAGAGTCAAATAGCTCTAATAGAGATGAAGCTTGATAGATCCGCCCAGGTGTAGGTGAAATGGTAGAGCCTCAGGGGTAATAGATGCTGTGCTCTCATGCTGAAGTTTAGCACTCTGTCCTGACCGGCTCGCTAGCAGCAGTGAGATGGGCTGCTCCTTGTACAGTTACAGAGTCAACACGCTTCTTGCCGCTCACGTTTATGCCTAATCCGGAGGGCAACCTGGAGCTAGGTAAGAACAGCAGAACAGCTCTTTGACTTCAACGTGTGGACAAAGGACAGCAAATGCAGTAAGTGGAAAATTTATTCTTCTTTTACTTGGGAATTAATTAAGGATGTTTACTCTCAGGGAATCCTCTAAAGACTGCAAAAGTGAACTAGCAAAAAGCCTGCGTTCATAACCCTGTGGATTTCCTCCGGTTTCGTTTTGCACAGTGCCTTGGCACTGTCACTGAAGCTTAAATACTCTGCAAGTGACTTCCTCATTCAGAAGGTCTCGGAACTAAAATGTGGTGCTAATAATATTGCTAATTCAATCCTGTAGCCTGGCATATTACTCACTATTTCTGGGTGAAATGTCCTTTATTGCTGTCAGGAATGATGGTAGCAAGTGTTTTGTCACAGTTCTGACAATAAAAAAAATATGTAAGAAGCACATACTTTTCTCGAAAATAGTTTTCAACTTTTCTGCATAGCTGTATTGTTATGTCACTGTTCGTTAATGTGTGGCATTTGCCTGAAATTTTTGCTCAACAAATCCATTCTACAGCTCAATCTCTTACCAAAGAAAAGATGCTAAAAACTAAACGCAGTATTAAGTTGTAGCAGCAATGACAATGATAATGAATTTTTAAACAAACAAAACAAAACAAAGGTCATTTGTTTGATAGCATAGGAAGAGATATTAAAGCCAGATGTAGGAAATCTCAACTTTGACTTTTTGGTCTTTCATGCTTGGTTTAAAGCAGCCTTCACTTTGCGTTTACTTTGCATTTACAACTTGAGATTCACTATTAAACTATATTTGAACTTCAAGTTCAGATTTGATCTAAATGCAGCCCTGTTCCTTGAACCCCCTACTCTGATTTTTACTTGGCTATGGGGAATCTTTTTACTACTATACCATATATCCTGAATTGTGTTAACAAGCTAACTGTGGTGGACTTTTTCAGGTGGAATGTCAGCCAGTGTGAAAGAATGTGTTTGCTGTTCAAATGTATGATGTTCCATGTAAGAAATAAATGCATGGGACATATGCTCTGACAAAGATTCCAGTTAGGATTCTAAATTCAATGCATCACATATTGCCCAAAGATAATAATATTAAAAAGGATGCAGTTAAAAACTGTCAGCACATCATAATAGCTCTTTGCAATCATTCAAGGATTTTTTTTTAACTTAGGCTTTTTTAAAAAATTAGTCTGGAAGGCATTGTTGTCTCAAAAGACAATGTACATATATAGGGTACATAGACAGGTGAAACTGGATAAAACACTGTTGCATTGTTTAAATAATTCCCTACCGGCCAGCGTTTTGTTTTTGTTTTCTAACTATTACAGATGGACATCATTGAAATTGATGGTTTAAAAGCCATGACGGTAGAATCCTGATGACTCCTTTGTGTATATTCAGAAATGATTTATCTCGGATAAAGTTGCTGCTATGAGAGGTTTAATTAATTATTGCTTGTTAAATATATTTCTTTAAGAATTGCATTTGACATTACTGATGGTAGAGTAAATGCAGTTTAAAAGTCATTCTTCATGAAATACTTAAACCGACAATTGTTGGCATTGAATAGCGGTCAATGTCTACCCCCTACAGGGAGAGAATCTAATTTCACTATGCCTTCCCCAGTACATGAATACCATGGAGTACAGTTCACACATATGAATGCTGTAACCGTGTCAATGACTCCAACAAGTGCCCCTTAATGAAAAGGTCAGGTCTGTGATTAATAGGAAGCCTTTTTCAAAGGCTGGACTTCACTTCAGCACTGCCTTTAGATTTGTTTCTCCTTGATTTACTTCATTTGCCTTTCAAAGTATAATAAAAATCAAGTGGTACTATGCTGCACTTTTTAAATACTCTGTGGTTAATTTTATATGATGATAACACATTGGTTAGAATATTTGGTTCGGTAAAAAAATAAGTAAGTGAAAAAATAATTCAAGCCTATTATTGAAGGCATAGAATGATGAATGAGAACTTTACACTTTATCCAAAGAGTTAGAATATATCGCCTTTGCTTAAGTTGCAGTTAATTTAATAAATTTGAAGAGTCACTGTGGGAATAAAGATGGAGTGACAGGAAGGGTTTGATATTTTACATAAGATTTATTGTGCTTAAATGGTAGCTATATGCCAGCAAGTAAATATACACAAAGAACTCATGCAAATAATGATTTTTCACCAATGGTGAAATTCATTTAAGGATATGTAGCTAAGTGGTGATAAGACAGTAATTAAATCTATTGATATACTCAAAGAAACAATTGAGTCATCTTTAATTTACAACAGTGGTTTTGTTATAACCATCCCAGTTAAATCTTATGCTGGAAAGCATTAAGGTTAAGTCTAACTTAAAAGTAAAACAAATACTTTTTTTTACAGGAATTACATTTTACTAATAAATATCCTGTTGAAATTTAAGCAATTGACAAATTACATTTTAAATAAATACCCTTGTCTTTTCATTTATGTAAGTGTTCTGTGTCGCTGTGGCTTTATCTGTACATGTTTTCAAATAAGATTGCAGTAGGAATAATTGGACAATACAAATAATGGAAGTAAGTGGAAAATATATATGCTATATTTATTCACACAAATTCTAAAATACTTGGAGGAAAATTTTTAGAAATCACAGGATATATCAACTTATTCTAAGAGATCTCCTTCCTTGAAGAATTTAATTTTTAACCATAAATCAACACAGGATTTAATAACTCCATTTTCACTTAAAACAAAGGAACTATGTTACATATCAAGATAGAGAGTATGGGGAAAAAGACAGTGAAATTTCAGTGGTCACTCAAGGAAGAGACAGTGTGGCCAACTGTACAACGGGTACAATGCCTCCTAGATGTGCTCCCAACTTATCAGTGCCCACAGTGTCTTCCGGGTACTCTTCTATCCAGGCCTCCATTTTTGTTATGAATCAGAAGCCAACCATTTCCAGATAGGGTGCTATGAATAACATGAATTGGGCACTTGCAAGGAACCAAACACTGCCCTGAGCATTTGGCACCCATGATTTATTTAGTCCTGATAGCCCAATGAAGTAGGTACTGTTTCTATTCCCATTTATAAAAGTAAAACCAGAGGGGTTGAAGAAGTTGACCAGTGCTATGTAGTTGGTAAGCAGTGGAACTTGGATTCAAATTAACTTTGCATGAGGACAGATAAATCTTCTAAACACTAGACTGCACTGCTTCCCTAACAGGTGACTTCATTATGAATGCCAAGTTGACTTTATCTCTGATCACCTGATCAGGACGACTTGAATTCTGAAAGAGATTTATAAATAGAAATAGATGACCCAATCAAACAAAACGTAAATCGTTAAATGCCAGTGAGTAAGACCACACTTCAGTTTACATCATCATTCAGTATGTATAGACCCTACTACTTTTCAGAGGTTTTACGACAAGTATGGGAGTTACAGCTATACCTCAGCTATTGGGAGAAGAACTGGTCCTTTTACCCCCACTCAGTTTTTAATTTTCCATTCGTGTTAGGTCTCTGAGAAGAGTTTGTCAACTCCGGGTATTTCCAACCAATCCACTGTTGAACTTAACAGGGGTGATGCTAATCACAATGGTCTCTGAATGAGAGTAACCTAAACACATTCCCACCAACCACTACGGCAGTGAAAAAAAGTGAGCAGTTATTCACTCTTAAAGATTTTCAGGCCTTAGTTACTTAGTAGGACCATCTGGATTTTTTTTAATAGAATGATCATTGAATGTCTCTTTATCTGTGAATACTTGTGTCATGTAAGCATAGCCTAGAAAAAACCTATTTGAAATATTTTATTTCAGATACAGATTTTCCAAGGAACTATATCTGTCGTATGACCCTCTGCTGGAACACTTTCTCCCCCAGACAGACCTTTATCAATATGATTGAGAATATTCTTTGTAGAGAACTCAAAAACAAAATATTTATGATAAAAAAAAACCCTTGTATTTCATAATATAACTTTTGTCATTATGGGCTTGTGTATCTTCTCCCAGATAAAGACAGAGTATTCATTTTAAAGGGAGTTTTTTATTTCTAAAAGCCTATCTTATCATAATTGTTAAGGTGAAAGATCCACTTTTATATACACAAGCAGTTTTATGCATGGCAAATTTAATGAAAATGAGGAAATTACTTCAAATTTTTAGCGAACCCAACCCACTTTTTAAAAAACTGGATATGTAAAAATGTTACTTTAATTCTCATATATTCTTTTGTGTTGATAAAAGATATCTGATGAAAACAAGGTATGGGATGAAGATATTTAAATATGTTTGGCATTTATAAAACCATAGACTGTTTTTATACAAAAGAAGACAGAGAAGAAAACAAGTAATTTTTTTTTCAAACTAATCTTAAGATCCTAAGAGAATTAATCTATAGTGACAAGATCTGAAATCCCTAAAAACCTTGAGGATTGATGATTACTTGAAAAACTTTGATCAGAGACTTCCCTATCACTGTCATAACTCAAAGAGATCAACAGGCTAGCTTCTTGAAGTTAATCTTACCCTCATAAATCCTTTTTGGATTATCCAGACAACACTTCATTTTCATTTGTAGGGTCATCTTCAGTGGGAGGGTCTCCTAATCCCATCCCCTACCTTTTTTGGCCTGACTCATCCCAAGCCTTCCACCAGGGGTCCAGTCTACAATTAATTCTGATATTGTCTCATACTGGCTTACTTACTACTGGCATATGTTCCAGGGAAATACTGAGAAGACTGTAGGTTTAGACATTGTGCTGACGGACAGTTCCGTTCATATCTGGTGGTCACAATTTCTATAGTCTCATACATCCTGAAGCCAAAACCAGCAGTCAACCACAACTCGATTCATGCATGGTCCTTGCTTTGTGTGGAAGGAAGGCTCTTGGTCCCAGTTTCCCTAACACAAATCAGACTCCTAGCTACCATGGGTTTACTTCTGCAACCAATATCCAAAAATTCTTCTTTTCTATCCCTGCTTAATATTAAACATTCTCTTCATTTTAGGCTCATTGACACCTATATCCTGTTTAGAGAGTGGCATGAATTTTTAACTTTGTTAT